ATAAATACCTGTACCTTCTTGATGATGGTTGTATTAGTTCTCCAAGTTTCAGCTCCGTATTGTAGAATTGTGTTGACGTTTGTGTTGAAGAATGTGACTTTGATATTGGTTGACAGACAGTCATTTTGAGTTCCATGTGGTCTTCAATTGTAGGAATGCGGCCCTTGCTTTGCTAGTCCCTGCCTTTGCATCGGCATCCGATCCTCCCTCTTCATCGATGATGCTACCACCCAAGTACGTGAAGGATTCCATACCTTCCAGAGTTTTGCCATCAGGTGTGATGTGGTTGGTGTTCTCCGTGTTGTATTTGAGGACCGTGGTGAGGCTGTTGCTACACGAGCTGTCTTCATTTGCATTTGTTTTTGTGTATGGGATAGGAGGACTAGGTCATCTGCGAAGTCCAAATTGTCTAATTAGTTTTGAGCTGTTCATAGTGTTTCTTGCTTTCCCTCTGATGTCGAGGTCTTCATAATCCAGTCGACCATCAGAAGAAAGAGAAAGGGAGAGAGTAGACAGCCTTGCCTGACTCCGATCATTACTTGGAATGCATCAGTCAGCTGTCCTCCATGCACGTCTTTGCACTATAGTACGTCGTATGAGTTCCGGATAGTGTTGATAATCTTCTCAGGAACTCTATAGTGTTGAATACGTTTTCACAATATTCGCCTGTCCATACTGTCAAACACTTCATAATCAATGAAATTGATGTACAGCGACGAGTTACATTCAATTGATTGTTCGATGATGATCCGCAGTGTCATTATTTGGTATGTGCACGACCAGTCCATTCGGAATCCAGTCTGTTGATCTCGAAGTTGGGAGTCTACTGCGTCTTTCCTCTGGTTCAGCAACACTCTTTTGAAAACGTTTCCTGGTACTGATAGTAGTGTGATGTCTCTATAGTTCTCATATTTGCTCAGATCTCCTTTCTTTGGTATTTTGATGAAGTGTCCTTCTTTCCAGTGTGTAGGTAGCACTTGATCCTCCTTCCAAATCTTCTTGAATAATGACATTAATTAACAAATAAATGTTTGCAATATTCTTCATATTTATATTCCATGACCGAGTGCAAATTATTTAAGTAAGAACACAAATATTCCTGAATATACAGCTACGTACCTGAATTAGCTGGGATATATAGTAACAAAATATAATAGAACTAAATAGACACAATTAGACTGAACTAATAGTGATACTGGAATAACACTTGAATTAGATCTCTTTAATTAATTTGGATTTATTTTGAAACTAAAAACTCTATTGTAGTGAAATAAATACAAGACTGAGTTAGACTGATCATATCCACATTGTAGTGAAATTAATTCAAACTATCCAAAGTATCAATTAGTCAGAGTGTCTCCAATAGTTATAGATCAAGATAACCATGGATATATGACTATTAATAGATGGGCAGAAAGGTAACTAATCAAAAGTGGTTCTTATACACATAGTTCCCTTTATCTCTTTGTTTTGAAGGGAGCAAGAAGAAAGATTTGTACAGAATAACACGAATTCATTTTATTTCGTTTAGTTCTCGTAAGCTATTTACAACCTGTGATGTTTAAAAATCCTGATTACAAAATGGATTCAAACTACTTACACGAAGTAATTTAGTTCAAAGTAACTTTGAAGATGGGAGGTAAAACCCAACTCCTACGCCCTGGATATTAGGACTTGTCCCATGAACTAACGTGAGCAGTAAACTGGGTGATAGAGATCGAACTAATCAATCACTCAACCGATACCCATAAACAATTACAAATGCTGCAAAGAAAAATAGCACAGCTTTTTTAACTTTGAAGTAAAGTAAGAGTGTAAACAAACTTGATGGACTGAATAAATATTGTAAATATATACCTTATTTTAAAAAATACAGTCTATAACTTTGATAGTAACAGAAGTCTAAAGTGCTAGAAATAATTGGTATGTACACAGGAGATATTGAGAGAATTCATATATAGGGTATCCGAATTCGTCAGACAACTCATCACAAGTTAACCAATCGAATTAAATTAATACATTTGACAGCCATTTGCTCAATCATTTAATCACACATTGTCGTGTAATGATTAAAATGAGGTGTTACCACCCTTGGTTTCCGCCTCAGCAGTTTAGATGTTAGGTATTTACTCGTGAGATCGAAGGTCTTAGGTTCGAATATTGCATGTGGAACCGTTGATACACATTGTTGAGAGGTCCAATACTAAGAAGAAACGGCCATCCAGTGCTTCCAGATTTTCAATGGTGGTCTAGCATTGATCGTTTCATGATCTCAATAAAATTAATTAATCTTAAAAAATGGTGAGAGGAACGTTGTCGTCTATTGTGTTTTAACTTTCAATTGAGAAGGTATATGACAATAATAAAACATGAAAATGTACTGTAGTATTAAAAATTAGATAGCAATCCAAGGACCTGATATAATTGATTTGTTGGAAAAAGTTCAATAATCAATTCCAGAGCATGTGCCACCTATGTACCTGCTTCAATATTACGATCAATTATGTTTCAATCCTGTTAGGCGATGAAAACCTGTGGAATTTTTAGGGAAGTACATCATTCGGATGAATATTATGTCTTTTATTAATTACTATTCATCAACAAAGATTATCTGAAAGGTTATTTATGAAACATTTATGTAGACAATACATTTAGAAATGAATATAGATGAAAGCTAAGTGACTGATCTAATTAGACATGATTTTCTTAGTTCTTTAGTCTATATATTTTTTCTAAATAACATTTAAAAATAATCCATAACAGTTTATACTACTTATTAATATGTTTAGTAACATACATCAGTTGTAACCATTTAATATGGTCAATGAACTTATCAATGCTTTTTCAAATTACAATTACGGTATACATCATTAGCTCCGACTATTTTAACCCGTTTAAGGTAAACTTTTAACAATTATTATTTTAGTAGTTGATATCATGAGTCAATTAAAGCTAGATCACCATGGAAAACCTGAATGCACTGGATGGTCGTTTCGTTCTAGTATGGAACTCCTCAGCAGTGCGCATCCGCAATCCGGCCACGCGAGATTCGAACCCAGGATCTATCGGTCTCGCGCGCAAACGCTTAACCTCTAGACCATTGAATTGCTATCCAACGGTGTTAATGTTTAACTTCAACTAATCCTTCACACAAATTCAATTGTTGTATCGATTATTTCAAAAATGTTCTCATGGATTTGTTACCTTTTACAAAGAAAAACAAAAGAAAAACAAGGGTATTAGAATTTTGAAAGGTTTTATTTACTTCATTATTGTATTAGTTCATGTGCTTCTGTTTTCTTACAATCTTGCTTTATGTCATCACTTTTGTTTATTTAGTTTTTCTCATGTCAACACAGTGTGATTTTACCGAAATTCTTATATATTATAAATAACATAATGATGTACACTTTGCAATGAATGTTTTATTCTAATTTAGTATTTCATTAATTAATTGGAATCCACATTAGAGACATTGGAATACATTCAATTCAGTAGTTGACATACATACGACTTTTATATCCAAACAGCAACAACAACATCAATATCATTATCATGGGTATCATCTTGTGTATTGTATAGTGAATAACCTTTCAAAATGACATGATGGATAATAAGTAGTGTGGTGGACGAAAATACAAGTGGGGATAAACAATTGTAAATGAATGGAAAATTACATAATTTATTAGTAAAATCTGAGAACCATATAGTAAATACTTCATTTGCAAAATATCAGTCGATCATCTTAGACTTCATTGTCCTTTCGTTTCCACACTAATCATTCTCTGTTCTCATTCTCTTTACTTCGATCTTCTTAATCTTCTGCTGCCAGGCTTTTTATTTTCGATTGGTAATACATACTACTTATATCCGTCAACATCAGTAACACACACCACAATATAGTTGTTAGAATGTGTTTTTTTTATTATTATTTAGGGATTAAAATAATGGACTGTTTAAGGATATTTGATCAGTTTGCGAATCAAATCTCCTTATGACTTGTTAGAATGAAAATGTGATATGCTGATGACTTTTATTGCTAATTTGATGATTACGATTAAATCTAGTATGTTGGAATTGTCGATCTTCATAGAGCACACCGAAATTCTATCTTCTTTAGGAAACTCTTAATACAGGCTTAATCTTGGTGTTTAACTCTTCAGCAATCTATTTACAAAACAGAATCAGAAGTTAAGTAACTAAGACTAAACAATTATTTAGTATTCTAGTAACCCTCAGGCAAATCTACACAGCAACTTGAACATGAGAGAAAAGGAGTGAAACATAGAAGGAACGTTTTACTCCAAAAGTTCATTTATGGCACAGGAAATCTAGTGTATTTATAGCATTTTAGATGGCCTTGAGCTTCCTAGAAAATTATGAAACGCTATTACACATAGTAGCACCATCTAACCAGAAACTCGATATGTGACATTTCACTTTCTAGATGTTTCTGGTACAACTATTAAATGTTAATTGTATCAGATGTTTCTCAACGTTTTCCAGATCGTATTTTGGTTTTTTGTTTTCAAAAGGAATTTTCCGGATCACTCCCAACAGATTTTTCACCAGTTACAAAAAAAAGTATCTGTGTTTATATAATCAGTGGAATAAAATATTTTAGATTATTAAAATCAATTTCAGTTTGAAAAGGTTAAGTGGCTTGATGACCTGTATTAGTCCCAGCAACGATCATCTCTCACAAACTGATAATCAATATCATTTGACATTTGAAAAACAAACCTATGACGCATTCACTATTATTTCCCATCATTATAAATTGACAATCAAATAAAACAACCAATTAGAATAACTGAAAACATTTTTTAACGAAAGGTAAACATACCCAAGGTTATTTCACAAAAATGAACCAATCATAATTCAAATCAAATTATTGACCCAATCATTCAAACACCTATTAATCGATAATAAATAAATATATATATAATATTAAGAGACATGTCAATCAGATAACATGTATTATATCTGATGTTGTACAAATGACAAAGACATTATCTTTCATTCTTCAATCATTCAGTATTTTATTCATTAGTTTAGCTTTAATAATAAATCAATGGAATTGTGGTGGATTATTTACATCATGTTTAAAATATTATCAAACTACTTCAATATTATTAATATTATTCTTTTTACTTGGTATAATACTTTTAACTATTTCATTTATACTTGATTTAATAACTATCTGTTCTGAATCACTTGATTCAAATGCATCATATTCTACAATACGTTTTATTATATTAATATGTGGTTTAATAAATATACTTTTAGCTATCCTTATTTATTCATTACAAATAGATCGTCAATTTTCTCGTTTAATATGTACCATTGGTATTGTATTTGTAATACAAGTTGCTTTACTTAATTTATTATTCTCTTCTTGTATTCATAGAAATCATCATTCTGAACCAATAGTTCATTAAATGAATGAATAATTTATATATTTAATGTAAGTTATACTATTTGTATGTTGATATTACATTCCATTAATTCTTTGTTAAGTTTTAAAGTTTCATGTTTAAACTTAGTGTTTACATGTTATTGTTGTTGTTATTATTGTTATTTTGTATAACAACTATCTGATTCTAGTTTATACTTTATTCCCCACCCTATCTCACCCCCCCATTAAGCTATGTATTTATATATTCTTTTATATTATGATAGTATTTTACTTACAATATAAATACTGTTATATCTGACTTTTCATTATATAATCCATTCTGTTTTAGTGATCGACTGATATGAACGATGTAAAAAAAAACCCAACCCATTCAAGATCAAAACCGTTGTTATTTGCTATTGCACAGCTACTTTTCTCACTTCTAGCTTAGAATCTTCTTTATGTGATTTAGTACGAAGTAGTTAACTAGTGATATACTTAATCTTGACACAATACTGTCGTTCATGTCAAATAACATGTGAGTTTCAAAAATAATCTGAATACTGCCGTTTATTTGAATTAACATAGGTTTTTAACCAGGACTACTTATCTTTACTAACAGTTAGCTTGACAAAGTTTTAAATCACAAACTGGCCACCATTGAAAATCAGGAAGCAATGAGTAGCTGTTCCGTCCTAATATGAGCTTCCAAACCAGTCCACGTCTGCGACCTCGCTATAGAGATTCAAACTCATGACTTTCAGTCTGGTACACGATCGCCTAACCCATAGATTACTGAACTGACATCCATTTGTGTACATATCTAATGTCAGTCCATTTACAATATTACACTACCATGATACCCTATTCTGATAATAATCAAGTTAAATTAATCCACTAGACTAATCTAAGCCATTCATTGTAACTTGGTAACCAAGTCCCGACACATACAACTAACTTCCAGTCACATTTTCATTCTGTAGTTTAATAATGCTATCCAAAATGAGGTAGATAAAGTGGTTTATGTAGATGCAATTTAGTCAGTGAGAGCCGCGTAATTTAAAAGCTAGTTTTATCAGACAGATTTCGAATAACGAGAACTTTTATTTATCGGTTATGTAGTATGCCTACGTTGTTTCACTTGAGTGAATACACTCATATCATCCATATACTAAGAACTTACCTTATCTAAATAAATAAATTCATTCATGTTCTTTTGTTTACATTTGTCTTTATGATATAAACCTCCCTCCGTAAACAAAGTATATCTTAGCTGATTTAATACTGTCATGAAACATTGTGACAGCGTCTCAAAATGAAAAATGTTTCTTACCGCAACGAAGGATTCGATTTATGTGATGTCCTCTTTTTGCTTCTTTCCCATCTCTCTCAAATCTTGTACTTAGTAGATATTTCATCCGCACCTAACTTTCATCAGCTCATCATGGTTTATAGGGTTAAACAAAATAAGAATAGAACAAATCGGTTCTGGGTATTCACAATGAATAGAGTTTATACATATGGCCAGTTACATTTAGCGTACCATCCGGAACAAATATGTACCACCCTAAGTTCTTAGAAATGAGATATTAATGTTGTTATTGTGTAACCTTTTAAGACAAAATCGGTTAATTGAGTACAGATGAGATAATAAGTAAGGATGAATGATTAGTATCAATAGAGGAGTTGTGTTATATCCTAGTAAAGATTAAGTTACAGGTAACTTTTGTGAACTATTAATGGACTAATATTATCTATATATTCTTATGGTATAACTATTCAGTAATTAGGTGATAAATATCTATATTCCTCTTATTATAAGCTTCATTTTCACTTATAGACTATTATGATACGATATACTATTCTTAGATTATGTTCATTTTTATAATTACCGTCTCCCACGTTCACAGGTACTTTTTGGCTTGATCTTGTACAAATATTATTTCCTATTTTATGGTGTAATGTGCTCTGTTTGTCTTGTATATAAACCAAGTATGTTTGAAATAAATGATTCGTATAGTGAAAGCTGTTATTGGTGTTCTGGACTCAACTGGCAGGGCTAGAAGGACAAAGGATCAATAAGGATACTAGTTTGCTCATACCAGTCGAACGTTACTGGTTTGACACATTACTAAGATTGTGTAAGTCGTATATCGATTAACAAATAAATCGTGCAATAATTAGCCGGGCTTAATGTCATAAGTTGCTTAATCAACATTTATTAAATTAATCGGATGAAAAACAAAGAAATTGAATTAGTGGTAACATCAGAAAGAGCGAAAAAGAGTCAGAATTGAAAAATGAAGTTAGAGAAGAAGCGGATAATCACTTATGTTTTAAGTGATCTCTATTAATTTGTCTAAAGCAGATATGAAAAGGATGAATAACAGCTGGAAAAGATTGCCCAGGACAGGGTTGGATGGAGAGTGCTGGTGGGCGGCTTATGCTTCTCGACGAGGAGTAACAGGCGTAAATAAGTAAGTAAGTATTAATGTGCATAAGTGTACTGCTTTATTACGAAAACTCGATTCTGTTCAACAATCAGTTTGTCCTTTAATATCATTTTATTTAGGAGTTGGCATTAATAGTTTTTTCTTAAGATGACCACGTCGCATCTTTGTATATTATACTTAAAATTTTAATAACTCCAAACGTGTTCATTATACTTCAAAACAATCCTACTGTAGTGATTTGGAATAAAACTGATTTGTCAGGGTTATTAGTTGAACTAAGCATTGATTACTGCTACTGATCTAACTATTTGCTATGATTGCGGAATAACTTCCACCTGCTACTCATTGAAACGTAACAAGGGTGGTTTATCAATATGCGGAAGAAAAAAATGTGTTGAAGAAGATTACTCTACTCATGAACCATTAATTAAAAGACATCCAGAACAATAAATAATGATAAATATCACTTGGTATTGTTCACTTGAATCTTTCCACTATCCATCTTTGTTTATAATACTTGTGAATTAAGGCAATACCGAGGCAATACACACAGCATGCACATATGCCAATAAGAGACTGATCAATTGCAGTCCTAAACAACAATGGGAAGATTCAATTAAACAATAACAAGTAAATTTAAACTTCAGCCCATTGCACAAGCAGGTGGTCATTAGGACTCAGTACCTAGGTGGTTAACGTGATGTCGTTTGATGAGAATGGTACTGGGTTCGAGTCCCAGAGTGGACATCAACTCTGAGGTGCAGGTACATTCAGAGTCACAAGTAGGACGAAATGTGCGTCCTGGATTCCATAGCTAGCCACTATCCGTCTTTGCTTATAATAATAAATATAGTTTTATATGTCTAATCAATTTTGGACTTATAATTAATCAATAGTCGAATGTATGCATATAGTTTCTAAAATCATTAAATGAACTTACTTGGCTGAGAAATATATTATTCGTCACTAAACTACGTTTATTATCTTAACAACTTCTCTTACAAAAATATATTTGAACTTCAACTAGACAATTGTTTGATTTTTGTGTTCATTTATACATATCTGGCGTAGGCATAAAATCTCAGTTTGATTATCTCATACTTGTGAAGTATACATTTATGTTAATTACCTTAATTTTTATGGTCTTAGAATACATTAGGATAGGGGTGTGGAAAACTATTCAGTTTACACGATTTGTAATGATATTTAATCCATACGACTGTGTTGTAGTGTAACATTTTTAAGGTCATTATCATTTCCACATTTGGTCAAGTTATTTCTCATTGATTATATATATTAGGACGGGCTGGCGCAACTATTGGACAGGCCATCTCAGCCATGAAATTGAATAAGATGAGTGCATGATCTCTTCTCCTTAGAGGTGGTAGAAAAGTCATTCAATCGATATCATCACCGCGTGATGACTAAGTCCAAGAGAGACTAAGAGCTTCTTCAGTCATATCTGATGGGGTCTCTAATGTTCTGTAAAAAAGCTAATGCAATGGAGGTTTCTAGCAGTTTGCAATCAAATGACGTTGTCGATGACCCTATTTCTAAGTTTACCCGGTTGATATACGGTGCATTAAAGTCGCCTACTTCAAGGCTTCTACCCCTATTACACCAGGACTTAAGTTGGCTTAGGAGGAAGTCATCTACTACACATTCTGGACTGTAGTATACTACAACTAATTCAATATCTTACTTTTATATCTTGAAAACTGATTTTTTCGATGTACCGCGTATAACAGAGCACTAGAACACCAAAACCCTTTCAAGTCGCAATAAGAAGACAGGAGACTAATGAAAGGAATATTAATCCAAACAGTGTCAATCATAGTACAAAACTGTCAGGTATTTATAGTTTTTAGTGAGAACGAAATCATCATTAAAGTCTTCCAATCCGCATACAGGGGGTCATTATCCAATCGGGAAGCTACACGTTGGAATTCTAGAACATGGATGAGACGTCTTCGGCTCCTTATGAGCCTCTTACAGCTTCCTCGAGTTCACCGGTGGTCCGTCGTCACACCTCCCCCCTTTAAAGTACGTTGTGTAAGATTTTTTTCTTGGATCCACCTGAAGCTTGGGTGTCGCATTCCTCTTGCGGTCCATTACTCTCGAGGGTTGCACAGCTTTCTCTCTGCGTCGTTTGTCTTTTCGATATTTGCGCTCATGATGGTTCTTCTGAGATGAATCTACGAGCGATTGAAATGGGAGCCGGTTTTCTGTGACCACTGTACTATCATTTCTTTGCATTTGATTTATGTGTCTTATGCATTTTCCGACACCTTTCCGGACTAGGTACAGTACATTTCCGATTCGACGTTCTATGACACCTGGTTCCCACTTCCTATTACCTTGATACGATCTGACAAGTACCTTTTCACCCACCTGGAAGCTACGATTGACCTTACGATTTTCATTCGTGGGTTTATTTGTCTTTCTGGGCGGCAACATACTGTTAAAGATTGTCCGGATTTTCCTTCTGAACATACACTCGGCCGGAGACTTTCCTTCTGGTACTGCCGGATTAGGGGTAACTCTGTAAGACATCAAGAACTTATTAATCACTTGTTCCGGGATACCCTCACCTCCCCCTTTGACCAGAGCTCTTTTAATCGTATCCACGAATCTTTCTGCCTGGCCATTCGACTGAGGATGGTACGGAGGAGATTGTAGATGCGATATGCCATTTTCGTTGCAAAAGCGTTTGAAGGCGGATGACACAAACTGAGTACCATTGTCGGTCACTAGGATCTCTGGAACCCCAAAACAAGCAAAAAATCCTGACAATCTTCTTATTGTACTCGCTGAAGTCGTATTCGGCATGTCATATACTTCTGGCCATTTTGTGAAAGCATCTACAACAACTAAGTAATTCCTGCCTTGTATTGGTCCGGCGAAATCAGCATGTATTCTTTGCGAAGATCCGTCTGGTTTAGGCTATGGTTGTGGTTCAGCTCTCGTTGGATTCTTTGCAGCCTCTAGACAGGACCAACAACTGCGATATTTTTGCTCTATATCATGGTCCATTGACGGCCAGTATGCATAGCTGCAAGCTAGTGACTTCATTTTACTTATCCCCGGATGCCCGCTGTGGAACTGTTTAATGACTTGGTGTCGAAGATTTCTTGGGATAACGATGCGATGGACAAACATTATACATGAATCGACAACTGTTAATGATTCTAGTCGACGGAAATATTGTAAGAGATCTCCGTGTAGTCTAGATGAATGCCATTTGTTGAGTATGCAATGGCGAACAATCATCAATACATTATCCTTCTTGCTAGCCTCTTTAATGGCTTCAAATGTGACCGGGAGTCCGGAAACTGCGTCTGACAATACTTTGTGAACCTCAGCCTCAACATCTATGGCAGCTACAAGCACCTCTTCTTCTTGTTTTTCATGCAGACCAATCAATCTTGTGAGTGCATCTGCCTGTCCGAAATCCGTTGTTGGTTGATACTTTATCTTGAAATCATAGCCCAGCAGTGTGGTAGCCCATCGCTGTAGCCGGTTTGCTGTATATACAGGGATACGTTTTTTAGATCCAAAAACTGTCACTAACGGTTTATGGTCTGTAAGTAAGGTGAACTGTCTGCCAAACAACATATTGTGTAACTTTTTTACAGTTAGATTTCAGCCTGCAATGCACCAGTTTACATGTCCCTGAGTCGTGTGCCACCGTCTCAAAAGCTCGTATGGTTAAAGTACTTTTCGTGTGCTAGATAACCCCACATCCCCTGCAGTTTAATCTATCAGCTCTACGGGATAAAATACCAGTCAACTGGATTTCATTATCAAACACTTCTGACGCTAACCAAGTTTCTGAGACAGCAATAACATCCGGTTTTCCTTTATCTACCGCTGACTTGAGTT